TTTTTTTTTTTTTTTTTTTTTTTTTTTTTTTTTTTTTTTTTTTTTTTTTTTTTTAGAAAGTAACGATATTTCTCTTCTTACTTTCAGTCGACTATGAAAAATATTCTTCGTAAATAAAGAAATCTAAGATTCATTTTACAATGATAAATTATAGTATACATACATATTATAGATTACTTGACGTAAATACGAACAAAGTTTGTTATGCAATATTTGCTTGTTTTATTATATTCTTCAAAACGTTTAACGAATAATGCGTTAAGTCTTAATTTTTACAATGATATATTATAAACCGTTAACTTTTAATGTTCCACTGCCACTAAGCATATGAAAGAGAAACAAACAAAAAAAAAAAAAAAAGAAAAGAAAATGTAAATAATCAAACAGCGTAAATCGAAAATAAAAACTACCGCAGAGACTTACTATTCCAATTATCGTACTGTTTCATAATTTTGTAAATTTTTATATTTAAGAAAATTGGACCATTACTTACGTAATATAAAAAAGAATATTAAAAAGTGACAAAGAAATATTACATCGAAAGTATGCATTAATGAGCCCATTGAATCAAACGTTCTAGGTACTTTTATAATAATAGTTATAACGATATTGTTGGCAATGATGATATATATAATAATAACAATGACGATGATAACAGTAAATATGTATAAAAATATAGTGTAAAAAATCAATAAAATTATAAAATTTGATTCAATGAACTCAATTGTTAAAAAAATTAGCATTTAGAATCATTAAGTGACAAATGTATTTACAATTATACGTAAAACGACCATAAAACGTAACCGGCAAGTGGTATAAAAGTCTTGTACCATCTCTCTTAGTTTCAAGATGTTAATTTATTTGCTTATTTATATTCTGTAGCTATTTGCAACAGCTAAAAATTGATCCGAATTTTGATTCTTGCGAAATTAATTGTTTCATGGCTTTTAAACGATCATAAAAACTATGCTTTGAGCAAATTGATGAATGATTTTGTTGCTGTTCTGTGTAATCGGCGTTACATATTTAATTCTAAATGAGGTTAAATGGAAAATGTAATTTATTAAAAAATAATCATGTGTGTAGCAAAAAAGGCCTATGCATGTATAAATGTATTTTTTCGGACGTTCAAATGTATTTTTACATTTGTTCGTCTGGAAAAAAATTACATCGTAATGTATAGTCTGGGTGAAATTTTGTTATTTTTGTTATTATTGAAACTCATACTTTCCGAGTAAAAAGTATGGGTTTTACGAAAAAATTTTATTACGAAAAAATATTAAACAGTATTTTTTTTCTTGAAATACGTTAGAATACATTTTTTTATCGAATTCTCGCAAAAATTTTGTTCATTGATTCTTTAGTTAAAGTAGTTTTCTACTGTTTTTCTGATCAGAATGCTGCAAGTAATAACCAAGTAATAAGCAAAGAAGATCTCACAAAAAATCATTTTTTGAATGTTTTCCCACACTACGTGTTATTTCACCCAGTCTAATAATCTTTGTAATTAAAAAAAAAAAAAAAAAAAAAAAAAAAAAAAAANCTCACGTTCGCAGCATCGTCGTCTGCGAGAGCCAGTCGCCAAGGATTATTTGTTACCTGTAGGTACTTCGAGGTGCAAAGCCAAAATAGCCTCTTGAGACTTACGGCATCGGCTACATAGTCGTTCCTGTGAAAACTGCTCTTTTGATCAAAGGAAAAGAAAAAGAAAAAAAACAAAAAAAAGAAAAAAGAAAAAAAAAAGAAAAAAAGAAAAAAAGCGCCGATGTGAAAGCGTATTAGTCTGTAAAGCAAAGTTGCATTCGGATGTCCTTTTATTCGTATGCATTACTACACGTATTCGTATAAAACGAAAAAATGATAAATGTATATTATTGTGTTGTTGGTTAAATGCACTGTACTTGCATCGGATTGCATAGTCTTTTTAAAACAGAATTTTACGAAACAAATTAAAACTTTTAAATACACACGACGTCGATCGAGTCATTGAGATACTCATGCATTTTCTTCTTGTATCGAGTTGTAACTACTGCGGATAGTTGTTCGATTTTGGCTAAGCGTTAGTTAGGTAAGACACGTATAGTTATCGTGACGATTGTGAAAGCGAATCACTACTCGCACTTGTTAACTTGATAAGTGGACACTTGCTCTTGACTGAAAGTTTTTCGGGCTGCAAACCAATAATTCTTTTTTTAAAATTTTATTATTATTATTATTATTTTTTTTTTCAATCATCACGGTAGTGTAGGGTGTTGTCTTAAACGTTTTTAAAGTAGTACGTTCGTAATCGTTTGAAGGATGTAGTTATTTGTCAATAGAGCGCTTCGATAAGTCTTTGGTTTTGATATGTCTTTAATGTTTGTTTTGCAGCAGCTTTGCATTTTTTTTTGTTGTTGTACGAGTTGCGTATTCAAAGTAGCGGTGGTAATTTTGATTACAATTGTATATTTGTGGAAAGAAAAATGCCATTCACTCACAAACGAATCGTTTTTCTGCCACTTAATGCGAGTAACAATAAAGTCACGCCCTTTTTATCGCTAACAAATTACCTTAGGATTTATGGTTCTTGGTAGCCTGTTTTTTTCCTTTTTTTTCATATTACTTTTACAAATTTTTACTATAATTATTAAATATTTTGTTTCAATTGTTGGGATCTAATATTTACAATTTACCGGCACGTTCATACGTATATTTATATACATTTACGTATAGTCGTAGTTGGTATACATGAACGAGTGTCAAGATAGTGCAATCAAATATTTTAACTATGTTATTACAAAAGTGTTTGAATAATCACACTGGAAGTATGAATTACTATTTCTTTAACTGTCATTTCGTTTGAAAATTGAATACTTTGTTTACTTACGTATTTATATGTAAGATTCCGCATCAGAGAGAGAGAGTACCAATATTCGTATGTTTAATTTTTGTACACGATTCGATTAATAAGATGAATTTATTCGCGTTGCCTATTTACAATGCTATGTATTACTACTTTTAGAAATGTAAATCAAAAGTTTCATTTTCGTTGGAGAATGCGATCATACGAAAAAAGAAAAAAAAGAAATCATGGAAAATAAACAACCACACAATGTGCACGTTTGTATTTGCATATCACACATTATCATGAAAATTCAAATGTGTTATATACTGCTACTACTACAATTACTTCTACAACTATAACTACCGTTATTATTGTTACAATTATTATTTTTATGTCAATAACATTTTGTATCTATTTAGATATCTATCACCTCATACAAATATAATCAAACTGCAGATGCAATAAATAGTTTTGCAAATTGAAAAAAAAATAATTTACGTTTCATTCGTTGTACGCCTTTTTCCTCGTCCGTTTCGTCCACAAAATCTCCCAAGTGTATAATATACATTTCACGCTTGCCAAAAAAAAACGCCCATTAATTACATAAACACCGTAGGTATATACACGTAACTCAGTGATCAAAAGGATGCCTCGATCGACACTTAGAAGAGCGAAATTTCGCTAATTCGCGATCGTGAGTTTGCGAATCTCCTCGGATTTCCCTTAAAAAAACCAATGCAGAAAGCGCTGCGGCGTTCTCTCTTGCATAAGGCCCGGATATATCGGGCGAGGAAATATGAGCAAAAAGCGTGGCATTATGGAGACTTGGAGACGACCGGTGTACATTTTGTATACACGCGACAACGGCCGCGTAACGAAAGCTCATGGTCGCTCGGGCGTGAAACGCGGCACCGGCGGCGAAGAAAAGCCGCGAGCCTTCCGGGACGGACCCGACTCGGGGACAACCGGTTGCCGACGACACCTCTGCGTATCATCATCCGCCACTGCGCTCCCGTAAGTATATGTATACCATGCCGATCCTGCGAAGGGACGTCGTTGTTCGGGCTCTCCTGCTCCACCTGGTGATGGCCGGTGGTCTCGGGGCCGACGCCGAGATCTCGGTCGCCGACAGCGTCAAGCGACAAATCGGCGACGCTCAAGAGACGATTGCCGATCATAAGGTAGATTTCCGTTTACTATGGCACCCTCTGGTGTTGAATTATATGGCACGGCGGTGCGTCTTTTCAAGGACGCCGAGAAGGAGGTGGTGCGGACAGCCGGGAGCTTTGGGTTCGAGTACCTCACGGGTGGCTCAAAGGACGATTCCTCGGCTCAACTCCTCGAGCCCGTCGCCTCGTCCGCCAGTCGCAAGGACCACCACGACCACTCCAAGGTACACATCACGTCATTCCTCACGGGATTGTTTCTACTATCTTTTCCTTCATTTCTTTCAGATTGGGTACAGCGTGGGTGGCCCACTGGTCAACATAGCCCAGGGCGCAGCTGCCCAGGCCCACAACTTTGAGAAGAACCAGCCGGCTGCCGCTGCCCAGGTAGTATTAGTAATAGCAGTCACACAGATTTTTTGTTTTACATTTGATGAAATGTGTGTATGTACATATGATCCTTTTACAATTCGTTGGGAGAAAATAGGGAAAAAGCATACAATAAAGATACTGTAATATACATATACGACAGTTTCGTGTAAATATATAACAATCGTCCAGGCAGCTTACGTCGCTAAAAACCAACTCGGCCAGTCAGCGGGTCTAAGCGCGGCCACCGCGGCGGCGGCCTTTGCCGGTAAGCAGATAATCTACCGGGGCCTCCAGCAGCAGGCGTACAACGCGTATAGGGCCCTCGAGAGCGAAAAGCTCCAGCTGCAGCAGGCCCAGCGAGCGGCCACAGCGGCGGCGAGCGCCGTCCAGCACATAATGCGCCAAGTGATGATGACCCACATCATGTATTACATATACTTTTACTTATTGGGACAGGCAAATCTCAAGCTTTATTCATTGTTTTCAAGGTTCAAGTGATCACAACGGCGCTCAACTCGGCCCAGGAGACTTCGCAGCACGCGTCCGCGGTGGCAGCTCAGGCGACGGCGATGGTCGGGGCTGCCAAGGCTCGATTCTATGCGATCAAGGAGCAGCTCCATCTCGCCCGCATCGACTTCGAGGCGGCGCAGAAAGCCAATTTCGAGGCGGCCCACGCGGCTCAGGTTGCTCGGAGTAACGCCGTTGCGGCTGCGGTTCACGCGGCTGAGCTGGCCGAGGCCAACTATCACCGTCAACATGGTAAGAAGCACGATGAACACCAAAGCGGGAAACTCGAGGAGTTGGAAAGCGACGGCGACGATGACGACGATGAGTACGAGGGTGAAGGTGACGATGGAAATCACGAAGATCACGATCATCACGAGTCGACAATGGGTGTGACGGTGTCGATGACAGTGCCGTCCTCAAAGGCCACGGATAAGGACAAAACCGGCCGGCAGTTGAACTCGGCGACGCCCGATGCAGATCATTCTGCGGGATCTCCCGCTGCCAATACGTCCGCGATCAGCAAGGACGAACTGTACGACGCGTATGACAGTTTTCCGTATTGAAAATTCGAGAACAGTTAAGTTCCGATCGTTAAAGAGTCTTTCACATCTAAGTTTAGGTAAACTTTTAAATTAATCATAGAATGTCAGTGTGGAAATGAAAGACACGTATGTTTTTATAAAAAAAATTATTTAATTACTATGAGAGATTTTTTATTCATTGACGTTATAAAAATAGAAACAGCAGATTTTACGGCGGTCTTGGAGCTATCACAGGTATCATTTCAGTGAATAAATAAAGTTTCATAAACCATGTAATAATATGTTGGATCGAAAACGAATAAACTTACAGATGTGGACAATTTTTTTTTTTAATCGTACTCGTATCTATGTCTCTTAGATGCAGCACCTTCCGATTCCATATTGTTTAATCCTTTGCGTTGGACAAATTGTTTACTCGCGTATACGAGTTTTATCCCTTCGTAAGCACCTCTCATCCAAACGCCAACTGCATGTGCTCCAGCAAGTTCAATAAATCCATAGTCCTGCAGAACAACATTTTTTTCGGAATTAATTTAAAATGCGTAACTTTAATCTTTAAATTATGGAGTTAAACAAATTACTGTTGCATTGATTAGATGGGAAGGTATTTCTCCTGATTCTAAAATAATGCGCGAAGTTAATATTTGCGCTGCATGTACTGCTTGTCCCAAAGCTTCAATGACGTCGACGTTTTTTCCGTAAGCATCGCAAAAAGCGATCCTGGCCGCATCAAGTGCATCAAAAAATTTAGAGCCCTGAATTATTTGGCCAATGGAGCTGGTAGCTTTGACGAATGCATTCACCCAATCATCAGTGTCCAAATTGTTCTTATTCATCAATTCCTTTAAATTATGATTAAATATAATTATATGATAACAAAAATATACACATAAAATCTCCCTCTATCAGTCGAGAAAAAAAAAAATTATTTACTTTTCCTACAGTGCTAAGAAACAATTTGTACAGCTCAGCTTGTGCATCTGTTCTGTAGTAGTCAAATATGTACGCTATATTAAATAATATATGGGACGAGCTCATGCCGGCAAATTTATTTTTGCGAATTTCAGTTTTTATCAAGTCAGCAGTAAAAGCCAAGCGTGTACCACATCTTTCGACTTCTGGAGGTATATCCGGAATGTCCAACATATCAATTTTCATAAAACAAGCAATCAATGCTTCACAAGCGTAATGAATAGCTGTCAGTAGTACATAAGTTTCTTGTAAATTTACATCAGTTGAAACTTTTGTATCAACTTTTGGATGGCTTTCGTTTTCAGGCTTACGTTTATTACTCTTTTCCTGATGATTATAACAGTAAAATGAATAAAGTTAAGTATCTTTTCGTTAATTATTTATATCTTTACCTGATTCGCGTTATTACTAGGAAGCTTTAATAATATTTGTCTACTGTTCGTTTTGGGCCAAGCATAAGCTGAAGTTGGCACATTTAAATAATACAAATATTTCAAGTTGCACATGTTTAAAAACGATACGTGAAAACCTTTCAGTTCTACAGACACGTGAAACGATCCACAGTAGAGTATTCTGACTTTAAACCGTAAACTATTCAACTGCCCAACCAGTTCTTTAATAACAATATTTGCTTCTAATTCACTAAATCCTGAGAAAATTAAAAAAAATCTTTGCTTGATTCAAAATAATGGTGGTTGTCATAAAAACATCTATTATAAAGATGCATATTTACGATACATCAAAAATATGCATTATATAAGTAAAGAAAAATACAGCTTATGTTAACTTACCATTAAAATAGTCGAGTATTATGGCAAGCTTGGAGCCTGGGGTAAACTCTTGACAATTTATTAAATCATCAATTACGTATTTAATTATTTCGTTTGTAGACGAGTTTTCTATCGTAAAATTTTTTTTGTCACGATCTGATATTACATCTCCTCTAGTAATTTGAATTTGTGCTGGCTCGTCATAAGATTCCATGACATACACTGCAGTGCTAAATATTGATTTATTTCTGATTATTTCGTGGCATGCATTAAAAATTTCATCCAAATTACTTCCTTCTTCAGCCATGGCTCCCACAATTTTGTATAATAACAGAAGCCCTGAGGGACTTCTTGGACTAGAAACCGGCTTTTGATTTAATTTTTCACTTACTTCGTCTCTTACAAGAACCATTTTCACAGAAATGCCATTGCTTTCTGCATTCGTTTTTGCTTCGTAAAAATTCAAATAGAATTCTGGACAGTCGTGAACTAATAATAAAACTCCTGAAAAAAGTACACAAGAACGTGTCAGAGTTGTTTTGAACTCAAGCCTATCAAAAACCAAAACACTAAACTACAATCTAACCAGCAGCCTTTTCTTGATCACTTAAGACTACGTGATTTATTGCTTCCAGAATACTATCACTTGAAGGTGTGTATGATAGACTCTGATGTAGTCCTAATACGGCTCCAGTCAACATTCCTGGGCCTACAAAACCCGCGTACATGAGCCCTTCAACAACTGATCCTCCTCCAATAATTTTAACCTTCAATTCAAAAAAATTGAATTTATCAACGGATTAATATATTTACATCAAATGATCAACAAGTCTTACCTTGCCATTCAGTTTATCAAGATCCTGCCGTACAACTGTCTTGCAACTGTCAATGAAAACGAGATTTTGATGCAACAACAGTATTCCTGACACGGTGTCATTGATAATTTTTTCAGTGTCATTCCATAATCTTCGATTTTTGTGCAAAGAATTTTGCGAGAACATCTCTAGATGATTTTCGCGTTTGCAATAATATTTTTCGTGACAGAATACACAATTCCAGTATTCTATATCTTGACTAAACCTTCTGATACCTGTTATTAATTGTTATTCCTCTAATGATCAACTACTTGTGATTCGCAATAATTAATAGCAATTTCTATACACTAGTTATACATCCACTAACTATTATTTAAAATATAGATAACATGACAATAGATTATTTGATTTGCGTTTCTCTTGCTAATAAATTATTATATTATGAAATAATTATAAAATACCATATGTTGAGATGTATACATATATATTTTTCAGTTTATAATCAGCGCCATCTCGCGTTACGAATTTAGAAAATTAGAAAATACGAAAATTTTCTCTGCTGGCAGCATTTGCCGATTTGCGAAATAAGTACAGCCTCTGATTATTTTATCATTCTGGTAAAGAGAGCACGGTGTAAGATATATGTGAAGTTATGTGTAATAATTACAGTAATCACGACTAAGTAGTGCCGTATGGTCGATTTTATTGAACCGTATGAATATCTATACTTTTGGAGGTTGGTTTTCGGGTAAAAGATATATTGTAAATTTGCCGCAAATAGCACAAACAACCTCAACTTTTCATTTTATTTCTAGTACATTAGTTGCGGCTGGTTTATAATTGATTAAATGGCTCTACTGTAAGTTGTAATAATTATTTGGATCAGCGCCATCTAGCGGTCTTGGTTTTTTGGCGAAAAGTGGCCTCTAAAATTCTCAATCAGAGCAATCAGGATTAGAGCCATTTAGTCAATTATAAACCAGCCGCAACTCATGATGAAGCTATAAAATGAAAAAATAACGATACGTGTGTTTTTGGCGGCAAGTTAACAATCTATTTTCTACCAAAAATCGACCTCCTATGTATTTATACTTTTGTAGATGAATTTTCGAGCATAAGATAGATTGTTAACTTGCCGCCAAAAACACACGTATCGTTAATTTTTTATTTTATAGCTCCATCATGAGTTGCGGCTGGTTTATAATTTACTAAATGGCTCTAATCCTGATTGCTCTGATTGAGAATTTTAGAGGCCACTTTTGGCCAAAAAATCAAGACCGCTAGATGGCGCTGATTCAAATAATTATTGCTATTTACAGTAAAGTCACTTTATTAGTTATAAGCCAGCCGCAAATAATCTTATAAATAGACGATATATAGTTTACATTTTTTATGCTACTTGCGGCAAGCTTACAATTTATCTGTTACCTTAAAATCGACCTTCAAAAGAATAAATATTCTACTTATCTTATACGGCTCATAAAATCGACAATATTTACAAAATTACAATACTCTAGACCTTTTACCATTAACTCATGGGAGCACAAATGAATCAGTCGAAAAGAGACAACTGAAGAAAAAAGGCCTAAAAGAGAAGCACAGTCACACGAAAAGTCTCATAAGAAGGGAGCATCGGATCTGACAAAATAAAAAATACATTTACGACAGAGAAGTAAGTTTTAAGTAATATAAATAAACAAAGAACCCAACCTTCTCTGATCAAGTGAGATACAATGCTCCCTTCTTATGAGACTTTTCGTGTGACTGTGCTTCTCTTTTAGGCCTTTTTTCTTCAGTTGTCTCTTTTCGACTGATTCATTTGTGCTCCCATGAGTTAATGGTAAAAGGTCTAGAGTATTGTAATTTTGTAAATATTGTCGATTTTATGAGCCGTATAAGATAAGTAGAATATTTATTCTTTTGAAGGTCGATTTTAAGGTAACAGATAAATTGTAAGCTTGCCGCAAGTAGCATAAAAAATGTAAACTATATATCGTCTATTTATAAGATTATTTGCGGCTGGCTTATAACTAATAAAGTGACTTTACTGTAAATAGCAATAATTATTTGAATCAGCGCCATCTAGCGGTCTTGATTTTTTGGCCAAAAGTGGCCTCTAAAATTCTCAATCAGAGCAATCAGGATTAGAGCCATTTAGTCAATTATAAACCAGCCGCCACTCATGATGGAGCTATAAAATAAAAAATTAACGATACGTGTGTTTTTGGCGGCAAGTTAACAATCTATCTTATGCTCGAAAATTCATCTACAAAAGTATAAATACATAGGAGGTCGATTTTTGGTAGAAAATAGATTGTTAACTTGCCGCCAAAAACACACGTATCGTTATTTTTTCATTTTATAGCTTCATCATGAGTTGCGGCTGGTTTATAATTGACTAAATGGCTCTAATCCTGATTGCTCTGATTGAGAATTTTAGAGGCCACTTTTCGCCAAAAAACCAAGACCGCTAGATGGCGCTGATCCAAATAATTATTACAACTTACAGTAGAGCCATTTAATCAATTATAAACCAGCCGCAACTAATGTACTAGAAATAAAATGAAAAGTTGAGGTTGTTTGTGCTATTTGCGGCAAATTTACAATATATTTTATACCCGAAAACCAACCTCCAAAAGTACAAATGTTCTACTTATCTTGTATGGCTAATAAAATCGACAATATTTACAAAATTTCAATACTTTAGACCTTTTACCATTACCTCATGGAAGCACAGCCCTTTAATATACAGATACTTATATCGGGTTGCATGGGAGTGAAAACATCAAAAATATCGAAGTTTGCGTTGACGTGTGCGTGTAACTGTAACCTCAGCCGTCGGCCGTCTGGATTAGAGGATTAATGGATTTTGCAGGCCTACCACTAGCGCTGTCTGGTGGAGAATTTTCTGGTGACAGTGGTGAAAGTTTTAGTTTAAGTCCAATGCCAAAACTCGGCATTAGTTCATTGTATAAAAAAAATTATTCAAGAAAATGAGCATTATCAAACCAATAATAAAAAAAATACCTGGTGAAGTGCCCCCGCTGCCTAAAAAGTCAAGTCAAGGTTATATAGACGATTTAGGGAAAAAGACAAAAATTGAGCTGCAGGAGCTCCTGGAGCGTCAAAATAAACTCCTAGCCAACAAGTATGTCAAATTTACTGGTTTCCTCAATGATAAAACTAAATCAATTAAATCGATAAATGAAACATATCTTCAGAAGTTTTGTTTCAAAACTACCTGACAAAGGAGCAAAAATAATATGTTTTAAAGAAAAACTGTCCAAGGAACTTGAACATCGAAATCATGTGGAGGGTGCAGCTAAACTGTTATCTAGGCTTAACATTGCTTCTGAAGGCAAGGCAGCAATGAGTAAACTTGAGTGGACTGGAGAATACAGTGAAAAAGCAGAAAAAAATGGAAAAATTGTAGAGCTCGATAGTGATGACGACAATGAGAATGTCCTTAAAATATTAGCTCAGGTTTCTCATTTTTTAATATTTAACATATCAAAAACTTGTACTTGTATAAAATATTTGAAATTATTACAGCCAACTGGTAGTGGAGTTCACAAAAAAAAAGTCATACACCTTGCACAAGAAGAATCACTAATAAAGCCTGAAGATCTTGTTGAGATAGAATCTGCAAGCAATGACAATATTGACGTGGGTCATATCAAGTACATAGTGAACAAAGTTGAAAATTCAGAGAATAAAAAGAAAAAGGAACCATTTAGACCTTACAAGACAACAAAATCTAATGTTCATGATCCTGAAAAGGAAATAGAGAGGGGTAAGAAAAAACATTTTAAGTGGGAGGTGACAGCAGCAACACCACCTACTATTGTGCATGGAGCTGTCAAGCCATTAAGTATTGAAGAATCTCTAGAGTTACAAAAAGAGCAAACGGCCAAATTAAAAGTAATAGTTTCTGTTTTAACTTTACTTTTAAATTTTTGCAATGACTGGCTTTTACAATTTAATTATTTAATTTTAGGTGATTCAAGCCAAGAGTGCGGCCGAACGATTAGTTCAGCAACTAGGAACGCACACGATTGGCAATTTACCGAGAAATGCTGGAAATTATCGGTCTCATACAGAAAAATCTGACTCTTCGAGTTCAGAAGATGAAGAGGATTATGAAGTTTATGATGATGAAGACAATGATAGAGGGGGAACTGTTACTTATACTGTTGATACTGTTGAAAGTTAACAATTTATTTTTTGTACCCAAAGCCGAAACACAAAACATCGTTCATGTACTGTGGGTGGAAGTATAGAATTTTTGCCATACCTGAGGCAAAGCAGATTGAATTAACATAAGTACGATCTGGGATAGTCTACTATCTCGTTCTCAAAGCGTAATGTATTGTCACACTGTACTAAGTTATTTGTAAAAAAACTGAATAGCTGTGAAAAATATATTTTTTAAATATTTTACGTAACTGTAGTATTCTTTATTATTTATATATTTCTGAGAGATTTGAAGGAGTTGTAAATGAATTCAAATCACTTTTAATAAAATATTTAGTTAAAATACTTTATTAAAAAAAAAAAAATTCAATCCTATATTTTTAATAAGATAAGATGTTTTATTATTCTTATAACAAAGGTCTTAGTTGTAACCGCAACTCTTGATAATGTTTGTATACTCAGTGGCAGTTTTTTGTACGGCCTTTGATTCTTTAGCCAAGTGGGTGAGTTTCTGAAAGTAAAAGAAAAACAAAAAATCATTGACAAATGACATAAACCAATTGACCAAGTTGAAAAAAAGTTATTAAACCAAGTTACCTTGAGCTTCCTTCTCTTTTGCACGTCGATGATGGTCCTGACACGTCTCTTGTTCTCAAGGGAACGAACAACTGCTTGGTATTTCCATCCAACTTCATGTGAAAGACGCCCAACATGACAGTACTGCAATAAAATTTCATTTTGTTAATTTATTCTTTAATATTTAATTCTTTTATTTATATCTATTATTAACTCAGTTGAAGCTGTCATCAAATTGATTAGTCAATATTCAGGCGCAAATTACCAAAACATCATAGTGATTTGTTTAACTGTTCAAAGTTTTAAATAGAAATAATTAGGAAAACTCACTTTTCTGCCTGGTTTCAAGCACATGACCCTCATAGCGCTAGGGACAACAAGTCGCTTTCTCCTGTCATATGGTGGAGGAACTCCTTCATATGCTTTTAATCTTCTGAGAGCATCCTTACCTCTCTGTGTTTTGTGTGGGATCATTCCTGCAATAACATTTAAAGAGATTAATACAACGTTTAAGTAATTTCAGCTACATTATAAGAAATAAAAATTTCTCATTCTGAATTTGTTTTCACTTAAAAATCAAATAATGTAGGTAATCAAATAATCATGGAAAAAGGTAGCTCATTTAATAAATTGTGAAAGCCAAACGCTACTAACACTTACCACGAACTGTTTTCCAAAAGATCCTGCTAGGAGCACGGAAGTGGAATGGACCACGAGCTGGGTTCACGTTGCACCTTTTGCGCAAGAAGGACATGAACTTCAGTTTGTTCCTGTAATGGAAAATGCCAATCTTTAACAACACTGTGTGAAATGCAAGATCATTATTGACAAGTTTTAACAAAAATCATACAAAATATTTGTTTCATAACCATTCAAATAATGTAGGTAAGATTAGAGATAATCACGTATTATTTAACAGAAACCGTGCACAGACATTAACGAATTTTTATCAACAGTAACAAAGAGGTTGTAAGCATAAGAGGAAATTATAGGATAAATGAGTAAGACCTACTAACCTGAAGAAGTTACCGGAGATGTTTAACTGTTCGCATCTCACGACGATGACTTTGTTACCCTGGAGGATGGTCTTGGAAACGATAGCTGCCAACCGGCCCAGGAGATGGCCACGGCCATCGATAAGAATGGCCTGCAAATTTAAGTCAACGTTAACTCAGCAAATGTAAATATCCAGAAGGCACAAAAAAATCACTCCGAAGCTGTTTGTGAATCTAAAACTAGGGGGGTAACCACCGAAGCCAATAACCCATAATATACTGGCAACACATAACGTAAAAGATTTATCAACATCGGCCCCGAAACCGTACAGACATAAGCACACGAATTTGGTAAGTAAAAAACAAAATAACAATCCAAAAGTATTGACGTGGTAGTAGAAAAAATCTGGATCCACAAACAGTCGGGAAAAGAGCGATTAACACGTGTTAAACGCGGAGAGGTTAAAGGCGGTGCGCTGTACACGTAGTTTGCACGACTAGCGTTCATCCTCGAGAACAAATAAAACGATAAACGCACTCGCGAGCGGATGGTTGGCAAATTTTGCAAATTCAGCCATTAACTTGGGCATTTGGGTGAAAGAAAAATTATGAAATATCGACATATACCTTGTTGCTAAAACCCGTCATCGCGTGGTCTCGACTGGAAAAGGGAAAAGATGGCGAGATCTCCTTCGCCGAGGAGGCGAGAAAAAGAGACACTACACGACTTACGACGAATGTCGCTCTAGCGAGTCGAATGAAAAGCTCAACGACCACGACGCCCCTCTCTTTGGATAAAACAGGTTGTTTACTTGTTGTTGCACCGAGAGAGCACCGCGGGTATTTTGATTTTTTGTTCTATTGGAAATTTTTTTTATTGTATTTTCTTACAGGTTATTCGTTGATTTTAACTGGAGATAAATTATATGATATGTTTAAGTCATTCTGAATTTTTCAGTTAACAAATCGTTCCCACAAATGCTTCATTCCATTAGAAGGTATTTGAGCTAGAAGGAACGATAGATCATTTGGCTGTAACAAAACAACATTTTAATGTAATACTAGTTCGTCTAATTAATCTACAGATGTATTTATTCATTGACGACGTGAACAAGATTAAATACTCAAAAACACTTTTATTATTAAATATTCGTGTATTCAAGTGATCAATTTATCATAAAAATATCATACATTGCTACTTCGAGAAGCTGCGTATTATTGTGTGATAAATAAACAGCTCAATACAAGTGAGACGTTAAAATTAATCTTGAGCAAATTTTGTATTGACAACAACGATGTGGTCTTCGTTTTGCTGGTCCATTTTTACCCCTTTACCTATATATGCGTCCCGCTGTCCAATAAAACAAATCGATGTTTTATAAATTTTTTTTTTGTCCATTGCTGCTTTGATATTCTTTTCATTTTTTATTTAATTCGTGATAAAAAAGCAGAGTGCTGTTGCAATTAAAAGTGAGTAATGTTTATTTCAAGTCTGGAAATACTAATAATAATAATAATAAAAAAAAAAAAAATTACAGCTCCAGCAAATATTGGTGATAACAAAGATAGTGTATTTTTTTAATCTACATCTGTGCTTTGATACACATATTTGGAAAATGCATGTTGCAACATTAATTTTTTTATTAACGGTTACAACTTTACAAAATATACTTGACTATGCTTGTATATACTTATCGCGCGCGTTTCTCTCGACCATTAGATGTGTGTACATACAGATTTTAATAAAAGTACTTTTCAACTAATTCTTTTTTTTTTTTTTTTTTTTTTTTTAATTTCTCGTAAGTACAGTGACAGATAACACTATGCACCATATTTTCGTTATCTACTCTTTTTGTCGCGATGATGTTATGCTTTCCTTGGACTGCACATGGGTGTAGAAAGTACACGGTGTAGCAACTACAGTGCACTCTCTTGTAAGACGAAAGATATTTTTAATACCCACCATTATCTCACGTGTCAGTTGCGTATTAAATTTTTTTTTTTTTTTTTTTAAACACGATAATTAGTAAATTTTCTCGCCAAGTACTGTGTAGGTATATCCATAAAAGTTATGGTTGTAGCGAAAAATCATTACTTTTATCGAACTAACCGATTTCTTTTCTGTACCAACGTCAATGATGGTTGATAATAAAAAAAAAAAAAAATTTTCCTCTTGAAGGTCGAACGCGTTTTTTTTAAAGCCATATGTACTCGCTGTCGCGTACGTAGAGAAAATGGAAAAGAGAGAGAGAGAGAGTTTCTTCGCGTCCCAATGAGGTCTTGACTCAGCACAGGAGCAATTATATGCCTCGACGAGGGCCCCAAACGAGAATATAATATGTATAAAGAACGTGTAATTTTAACAAACGTTTCGCGTATTATGTAGAAGTCACGTACATATATCTACTCTCGTTTGCACACACGCGATGACAATGACGATTTCATGTTGTAATATTGTTCCTTCGACTGGTGCACCTGTGCATACATTATGTAGTGTAAAAAAGTGTCGCGTTGCACTATGCTATATGATATATTATACGAAGATCTGAAATATTGAAGAAAAGGAAAAGGAAATGACCTGCAGCGAAATCGTTTTTAGAGAGCTTGGAAAATTATATTCCCAACGAGTACATTCACTGAAAACGAAAAATATTGTACAAAACACCGATTCGCAATGCGGCGAGTGTATAAAATATGCGACGTATTATGCGTTTTACGAGCGACCGGTTAAGTACCGAGTCGATCGGCAAATTGACGGTTAAAAATGAAGAAAAATCGCGTGCGCATATGCGTGAAAGCCTCGTTCGATTTCTCGTATATGACAAAGCCATCGAGAAACACACAGCCGCATCGAGTCTCCGGAGCGCGATCGGTGATTCGCGAAGGCCAGCTTTTCGCTCGCTTCGTGAATCAGAAAAATCGGTTGGCCGCAAAAACACACACACGCGTGTCATATACGTTAGCAAAGGCAACGACCGAAGGACACGCATGTACATACATACCGGGCGAATTTTCGTGTCCGACTTGAAAAATGACGTCGACCTAGTTTTTGCGCCCAACTTTTTTTTTCCTCTCCTTACCACGTGGCGCCTCTTACGGGGCAAGTGCAGCGCGCTTCTTCCCCATACGGCGACGCTTTTTCACGGCGCGTGAAAGGCATCACGACTTTGGCGCCCGACCTTTTTTGTCTCGCTATACAAGTATATGTACTTTGCCATCGCGCGAAAGCCAATTTAAACTTTTGTGACGCATCGGGACGATTGGCTCTCCTTTCATTACCGATATGGTTCCAGATTAAAAACAAAAAAATGTAGAGTGAGGACGCCCCTTCGTTATTTCACACGAGCTGTTAACTCGTGTCGTTTTGCACGATGTGCGTGCGCGTGTGGAGGTACAAGTCATTTAGACTCGCGATGAAAAACATCTGGAAAAGTAAAATTTGAGCATTTGACAAATTGTATGCGAGGCTTTGACGCGCAAACGGGAAAAGATATACGCTCTCGGCTCGAGTAACGGTGAACAAATTATAATACACCCCTGATGCCTGTACAACACGCAAACGGTTGTTGGGATGGATCGCGGGGGCTGCGGTTAAGACGAACATTGTACGCAAACAAAATAAATTATCCTGATGTGTACTGATAGTATATCGCGCGAAACATTTGCCATATACATTATATATATACACATGCGGCAGGTATTATTTAGTCTTCGCAATCGAGCCTCGTACCGTACAAATGTATATATGTATAAAGTACACGCTCGTCTCTCGCTCATCCGAAATTAAATCCCCGACTTAATTAATACACAAGCAATCATCATCATATGTGTACCCACTTTAACCAACGCCTCTTTCCACAGGCATGTTAAAATAAATATAATTTAAACAACTCGTGGATATAACGCGCAAAGAAAAAGCGACGAATGATAATAAACTTGAAATTCAAATTTGGACAGTACAGGTCGCAAATGCATTTAATATGCCGGGCGATAGTAATCCGTATGCATTTATGTATTTCATGCACAAATTGAATGCTTACACGTATATAGAGTATAGATTCAAGAAAAGATTCGCAACTCGAGTAATGTGTGTTGGAGAGGCGGCGGAGGAAGAGGATCGGATGTTCCTATACAATGCAGAGGCAACCTTTCGTTACGAGCGAAAGGATATATGGTATGTATATACATTGTACGGATATCCACTCCAGCATACGCGCGCTTCGCTGGTCTTACGGGTAATACATATTATGTGCACAGGTACATATATACGTATGCAATTGCGATGTGGTCCTGTTATCGGACTGAAATTCCTCGCGTTGCCCGAGCGTGACGCTGTTGTTTTCTCAGCCCTGCCGTCCCCTGGTTGTGCTACATCGGTCCCGTTCCCTCTGCCGCGCGGCAGGTCTTGGAGTTTTACATTTGTAACGCAGCGATACCGATTTTTTTTTTCTTTCTTTCTTTCTTTCTTCACCAAGCTGAATTTCCTATTTTTGCAAAATAAAAAAACGTAGCTTTGGGAGAATATTGTATCGGGGTACTTATCCAGCGGGAAATCGTTAACGTGTCCATTAACGGATACACCAAAGGAGGTATACTCGTGGCTTGTTATCGGTTTTTATTTTTACTCGGTGACACGTTTTTACGAAATCCTATGCCCATACCCTCGTACTGACCTCAATGCGATAATCTAACTTTTTTGGTAATATTCTACTGAACTTTGACGACACGTGCGGTGGATATTTACAGTGTTACACGCATTATACCGATGTCCTCATGCGCGCGTAATTAGTGTACGCGGTATTGCGTTGTTGCTAGTGCGGCTATATACCCTAAAAGTTGGTGAAACTTGCCAAACGCCAAAGGACAAGTTTTGTTTTCCCAAACTTTTACCGATACCTCGTAAAATATATAGATAAATTTCGAAAAATTTTGAGTGTAAGTCGTTCCTGTATGACTCCAGTCGTGGTGAAAGAGATGATTAACACGAAATAACGAGGGAGAGAGAGAGATACACACGCACGGCTATTGTGTCACCTATAACATATTAGACGTTAATTTTCAAAACGCTGAATGTAGGTACGCAAGTATAAATAGTGATTGAGTTTTTACAAAAATAAGCGTGACCTCAACGAGTTTGGAAGAACACCGTAGGCCTGCGTTAATTATTTACCGATCAGGAATACATGCCACTACATATTTATATTATAATGTATGTGCGCCCGCGCTCGCCTCTCGTTAAACCATAAGAAAATGCACTTAACAATTGTTTACAAAGACATGCACATTTATAATGATCGTGTATATAATATATACATATATCTACACTTTCGTTTAAGCAACAACGATCGATCCTAAATTAGATCCAACTGAAATCATGCAGCTACCTACAGCCATATTAATTTATCGCCATACCGATCGTTTTCTCGATTCTATTGTTATTTCGCTCGCAACAACCAAGTTACAGTCTGACAGCAAATACTTGTTTTTGCACCGCCGTCTCGAGTATATATACAGTACACGGTTAATCGACTGTGTATACACGCATGTACATGTGTAAAGGGGCCCAAAATGAGCCTGACGTCATCCACCCGTGACTATCAAAATCCAACTTTAGTCATACACTTAATATACGCATACATATAATTGTATCTATACACAAATGGGTTACTTTTGATTTGAAATAGCATCGCGTGCGTCCGCATTACACCAATCGATGATCAAACCATGTATTGTTATTACCAAGAAGTCTTATCGAGAACCGAATGACAAACATCGGTGGAATTTTTTTTTTTTTTTTCCCCAACACATGTGCGTAATCGCAAAAAGTCACACACCCGTGTAGATAAGCGCGCACGACAATGACGAGCAATCAACGATGTCTTTACGCCTAAAGAGAAAAAAATCAAGATGCGTGGAGGACCTAAGTAGATATTATGTACAATATGCACGAAAATGTGTCTCAAAGGCCATCATCGGAATGAGCTGCAAGTACATAATATATAAATATGAACTGTGCGGGGCCATTGGAGCCCGGCAAGACTCTGAGTGTCTTTTTGCGTGAATAATTTTTCCCAACCGTCCTATATTCTTGTAGGCATTGGTAAAATTCCCTTTTCGTGGCCGATGAAGCAATATATTAAGTATACGCCTATAAGTAATATGGTAGCGTATCAGCCTCGGAGAAAGAAAGAGGGACTCCAATGTGCTCTGGAGAAGGATAGGAGAAAAAGAAGAGAAGAGGAGGAAGAAAAAGCCGAGGGGCGCTCGGGAGTATACGGCGCACATGTATATATACTTACTCGTACAGCCTGGCCGTCCTGCTGGAGCGAACGGCACGTAATAGTCGAACCGCGATCGTCCGACTGTTAACTTCGCCCGCGACCCTCTCTCCGATTGCACTTGTTGTACTTTTGTTTTCGTTACATCGTAGTACCTACTTGCAAGTTTATAGTTTCATCTGTATATTTATATACTTGTAGCTCGATCGTGCGGAAATCGGTACGTTCTCGATAAGCTCTCGCTTGAGTTTGGTGTTTCGTTATACCTCCTCGCCAAGGTACACATTTTTGTATATTGTTGGGTTTGTTTTTTTTTTGTGGAAAGAAAAACTAAAAAAATAGTACGATGGCCAACAACCGAGCAACCAAGTCTGGATTCGCCGCCGAAGCTCAGCGCAAAGTAAGTTTTCGACTTTTTTACCTCACTTTTTTCTTTTCTTACCGATCTGGTGCCTTTTTTTTTTTTTTTTTTTTTTTCAAGACCACGTTTGCTCGAAACGAATTTACGTCTCGGTTTGGGGGATCGGTCTTTCGTTGGGACCGGTAATTAGTTCGGTTCAAGCTGGAAGCGATTTTTCCCCGAAAATCTTCTCACGCAACGCGCTTTTTTTTCGCAATACACAATACTTTTACACACGAGCTAAACACCCAACGTATAACGTATAAATCGAAATCGTGGCACAGAGATACGCCTATACGTTACTATGTCTTTACTTTTCATTTCCTTTTGGCATTAGAACCCACTTTGCGCTTCCTTATCTTATCTTATCCACTCGGAGCACCTTGCCCCGCCTCCCACACACATGTACAAATACATAAGTATATATACACGACGGCGATCTGTGCAAAATGCTCTATGAATATTTTCAACGTGTGTATCCTCGGTGCTCATCAAGCTCGGACGCCACGTAGGTATATAATATATCAGATAAGTTATTCGGGCCGTGGTGTGGGCGCATCGAAGATTATGCCCTGCAACTTATTCGGTCGGCAGCGTATTAATCTCTCCTATATCATATAATACACATCGCCTCGTGTATATATATATATATATACCGGCCACGCCATCACCGCAACGGCGACAACTCTTTGACCCACTTTGGGCCACGTATACCCCATACTATACGTATATATATGTAATAATACCGGGTGGAACATTTTTCGGTCCCCCCGAAACGATACAACGGACACTCTCGTCTCGCTGATTTGTGCTTTTCCAGTTGATCTTCCGTAAGTACACGCGAATACGCTACTTATTGCACAAACATCGCCTTAGACGACAGGTAAACGATAATTGAAAGTACAACGACGCTGTCCGCGTGAATAATCTATTCGTACAAAAGAGGCTCCCGAGTGTTTATTGAAATCATAAATACCGATATAAGAACATGTACATATATATATATATATATATACATTACAAGCAAGTGGGCACAGCTTTAATCGTCGAACCATCGTCTTCGTCGTCCGAGACTAAATGACCTTGCGTATTGACAACACCTTTATGATTTGTACCCACCTGTTGGGCTCATTGTTGATTTTTATGATATTACTTATCGTCGAATAATTTTGCCAAACGACCAATTAAATACACAATTTGATGAAGAAAGTAATGACAACAACAACAACAACAACAACAACAACAACAACAACAACAACGGTACAATCGTTTATTCCAGTCAGGACTGTATAAAATATATGATGATTTTTGAAAGAGAAAGAAAAAATATTTTGAGGGACAGCCGTGTACGTGTCGTATATTGTTCTTGCATTGTTGGCGCATTGACTCACACACTCCGTCTTAGTGGAAAAAAAAAGAATAATCATGATGATTCAAGATTATATACCAGTGCATGCTATGTAATAACAGTTAATTGCAAATCCGAGAGATGATCCTTTCGATCTATGTATTATAGGTATAGATGCACAATATTGTGAAAAGACGTTTTACATATGGAGTATCCGATGGCAAAATTAATGTGCCGCGTGGGCGATTAAAAAGTTTAATGCTCGTAACGATTGAGCGCAAAAGTACTGGAAAAAAGTGTTTACGAATCACGCGAGTTTATTTTTCACGAGGGCAAACGAAAATGAAGAAAAAAAAAAAAAAAAAAAAAAGCTATTCTCACGGCTATTGAGCTATATAATTAAGCGCTGTCGCGGCGCAGCAGCGAATAATCCGGCGGGACGTCATATTTCATCCGCGATGATAACACAACAACAAAAAAAGACGGTTTATTTGTTTTATTTTTTTTGTTTTTTACCATTGATTGTTTTAATGTCACAAACGATTTCAAAACACGGAACATATGGGTGCAAGTCCCCGCACAAAACCGGCCCCGCGCGCGAGCAACAGCTGCTTCCTTCGACGTACCTATATGTAATATATAATATATAGAGCACGGCGCACATGCCGTTTCGGGATCCTCAAAAATTCGCGTACGTGTGTGTTAAGGTATTGTACGCACCTAAAGGAACAAAATATGTGAACGGAAGGAAAAAATGAAGGAGAAGCATCAGGCAAAGGAGCGGGGGAATATCACGCATCATCACACGCAGGGGGAGAAAAAAAAAAAAGAAGCATTATCCTAGTCCAATAAGCTGTACAGGGAGGAGGGACAGAAATTTATATATATATCATATACACAATGTACGAAAAGCCGATGGCCCTGGTACACTTTTTTCGCGAGTGTGGTATGTATATACACGTCCATATCCACTCAATGGTCCCCAGCTGTATAGTGTTGATTTTCCCCTGATATGGTACACGTATATATATATATATATATATATATATACGGGTATGACGCTATATATACGTATAATGATATTAAAGGTCGCGCGCGCGCGTGCATCACACACATGGCTGTATAAACTCCGTGCATGTGTACCTTTATCCAGCAGGCATTGCGTCACCGCGTGCATTTTTTTTTTTTTTTTTTTTTCTTTCGTTCTCCATGCATGCACTGCTTTGAAATGAGCCGATGAGTCGTGTATGTGCACCGCGGCGCGGGCTATTATTAGCTCGCCAAAGTCGTTTTTCTTACCATTTGCGCGAACGCGAAATTCAACGTCTCGTATCGGCAAACACTGTGCGCGATGTATTATATACGTCAAAGCTCTATTATATCTGATGATGTACAAAAACGAAATTCATCTTTGACAATAGCCAATTGATTCCAACGAGGTCTCGACCGCCTTTTTCGAGGTAAGAAAAGAAAAAGAAAAAGCTCGTTTTCCGCAATTACGTGCCGCCCCTCTTTTGTTTATATATACGTGTACGCTCGCGGATTGTGCAGCACCGGCCGTGGCGTGTACATAATGGAGAGGGCCCGAGAAATCGGTAGATTAGCTTACCGGTCACCCATTACCGGCAGCCCGTGGGGAGATTCGACCGTCGACCGGTTAATGAAAGTCGATCGCGCATTCCCAAGCTGCTTTGTTTATCGCTTCGGCTCCCCCCTTCTCTCTCTCTCTCAGCTTATACTTACTCTGGTTTTACGCGCACTTTTGCCTGTACTCATACACACACCTATTTATACATGTGCTGTAGAATTTTTCCCTCAATGCTTCATACGCCTCCTGATCGGAGCCTTTTTTTTTATTGTTTCGAGGTAAAAATAAAAAATGGCCCTTGTTTCAAACAACGAACCATTGTACTTGGTAATTTATTTGCCCGCGAGAGCTCAATCACGCCTGACATGGCGAGGGTTTTGCTTTTCCGAATGTGTACGCGGCGAGTTTCAAAGGATTCGGAACCGACGATGTATAATAATAATAATAACAAAATGATTGAAACGTGGCGCTGACTCGCGTAAATTGTAACGCCACGAGCGTCGGGTGTCTTGGGGCCGTTTGGTGCTCGTATAAATTAATCGAGACGCGGTCCTCTCGCACGAATTTATATATAGGTATATGTATATAACATTATAATATGTACTCAAGTTGCAAAGTAGACGCGATTCACTGGCGAATTTTTCAACAAGTTCTTGTCGTGTGTGTGTATATATTACATACCCGCACGTGCGAGGTTTATCTCGAATGATTAACGCCGAAAGTATTGCGAGATAACACCGTGCGACTCTCACTACATCTACAAAATACATACACATGCACTTGTACTTCTTTTACGTGATTTTCTTTTTTTCTTTTTTTTTTTTTTTTTTTTGCACTTTGAAAAATCCGAAGAGTGTACGTGATCCTTTATATTAAAGGTTTTCAAGCGCGCATCATATTCGAGGTGTCATGTATATAGCTTGAAGCGCTCGTCAAACAATCGACCCGAAACAAATGATGGCTCGCTCAACGTTTCAAATAAACAACTCCAAGAGCCACCACTTCAATCCCAACCACATGTACTTTGATCGCGAGAAATACACAAGTATAGTTGTAGATGGATAGAAAATGTACGTGATGTGCTCATAAACAGGGTAAATATATGAAATACTTTTTTTTTTAGTAGTAGATACACGTAACCCACACACGCATATATATGTATATATACATTTGACTCATCTACCAGACGAGCCGCGCCCGCGTTTGGCTCGTTAAGAGTCTTGAAGTGCTCCCTGCAAGATACCGATCTTCTTGGCCCTTCTCCTGCCAGATTCCATTAGATGTGTGTTGGAGTGAAAAAATTTATTACCATCAAAACGTTCAAAGTCTCCAAAAAACTTTACGTATCTGTACAATGTATATATCATCTAGTAGTGCCGTCTTGGATCGGTATTCAATCACTTCCTTCACAATAGAGTATACAGCCTGTTGTTGTGTGCCTCCCATGAAACGAACAATAGGATTACTCAATGACTGCCACGGTAGCGCATCTTTTAAGCATGACACGTGCCTCATTGAAAATATAAAATACTCGCTCATCGTGAATCAAAGTGTGTGCTTTCAAGCTTTCAACGAGATTGCGAACAAAAGATTTTTCTTTCCACGTTGTGAGAGACCGAAAGAAGCAAATTTTTTTTTGTTCACAGGTGTAATCATATATTATATTATACGATGTGAATGTCCGATCATTCTTATATGAAAACGCGCGTCCGAAGAACCTTAATTGATCAAATCGAACACCTATACAGAAAAAAAGAGAAAAAAAAATGTTTGTGGGTCAATGCGATCTTCCCATTACGCATCGGCGAGTAAGTACTCTGTTGGGTATCGGTACTGGTTGTTTTTTCCTCCTCCTCCTCCAATTGGAAATCGAATCGCGAACGAGACCGACGACGACGACGGCACTTTTTCTCCGCACTCGAGACGCGGGAATACTTTTAACTGTCAGCGATTACATTCCCCCCCCCTTCTATCTATTAAACACTTTGGTGACGAATCCACAAGAGATAAGGCGCGCGTTGCACTTATCAGTCAAACAGGTACATGTATATCGTTCGAAATTCT